TAGCTCGCATATATAGCAATACTACCTACGTATGTATTTGAATACTCAAAGTTCCCAAAATTATGTATGAAAAGCAACCCCTCCTATATAACCTCATATCAAGTATTACGAAAAAATTAATAGACATATATGTACAAATACAAGTAGAAGAGAGGATCAGAGATATAGATGAAAGATAGATGATAGATACCTGCCGACTCTCCAAATAAGTAGTCACGCTATCGCTATCTAGGTATTAGTCACGCTACCACTGTATATTCTATGCTAATTTTACAGCTTCCCTTCATTGCTAAATAATTACTGAACTTATCCAGCAAGAAGAAATGTTATGTAAGATTAACTTAATCTTATATTAGATATTGCGGAAAGAAGTGATTATCAATACGTACGGAGTATTTAAGAATATAAATGAATACATTTGTATGAAATGAAATGAATTTAATTGAACACCAAACAAAACACAAGACACACAATCAAAATCTTTAGAAGATTGAGGAACTTCGTTATTTGCGTAATAATAAATACCCATCCAGGGATTCATAAGAAAATAATAGAGAAGGTAAGAGCAGATCATCTTAAGCAACATGTTTCCTGCTGACACTTTTGCAAATTAAAACACTGTGACTGACACTTTTATGAACAAAAGTTCCTAAGATGATATCTGGCAAAGTAAAATAAAGCTATTATGTGAAATATCTGGAAAACTGTATTCTTGGAGTGTAGCTGGATTAGTCTTTACAATGGCTCAACATAGCAAGTATCGCTAGTCCTAGGGCACTAGATCTTTTGCTAGAGTAGTAACCATAAACCCCGTTTTCCATAGATAACCCTGTTTGTATATTGAGAAATAGAGGGATGATTTTTTCCTCAAATGTGGACATTAGATCTTGCTTGAACCTAATCTTCATAACAAACATAGCGGGTTTTACGGATTTTCATTCACTTTTGATTCTCATGTGGAGACTGATAACTTTACTCTCAAGACAGATAATATCTTCTTCAAATTAGTTGAAGGAGGTATATAGAGGGGGTTTACGGTAACTTGTTAAAATTAATTATGGGGTTAATCAAGGCAATTGCACCCCTATACTCAAACTTTACAGCAGATAGATCCCGGAGTCAACTACCTAAAGCCCCTGTTGTTCACTACATCAAAGCCTAAATAAAGCATGAAAGCATGCAGATGTGACGTCTGCCCATTTGCTTACATAAATATTTTCAAATTGGTCAAAGCTCAAGCTCAACTCAATCTCCATTCTTCGTACAACGAGTATTTGAATCAAAAGTCTTTTTGTTTTTTTCGAGCCTTCATTGTGATAATTCAAAATTCTAGGAGTCTCTCCGATTTTACTCGAAACATCTCCATCTCTCTCATCTTAAAGAGAAACTAAGAAACAGAGAAATATTGTCTTCGCCGACTGTTCAAAAAAAAGTACGGCCTGCGTTTGGTGAGCTGTGGAAGCTTGAGGAAGATCAGCTACTGGTTTGAGTTGATATAAACACCTTCATTCGATTCAGATCTTCTCTCATTTCGCAATATACCAGCAGCAAATATGACATCTACTTCATATCGCGTTGGTATGTATTTCCTCTTCCGCTTTCATCACACTTGCAATAATCTTGTCTCCACGTGATAACGCGTGCTGTCATTCATCATCACTGAAGAATCCTTCATTCTTGATATACGAATCTAAATATGAATTAAAGTATTGAATACTGACTAAACTATAGAACTCGCAACTACTGCACGAGCTGGATGCAATAATATGGAATGTAAAGATGCTGGTATTAAGATTCAAAAAAATGAATTGAGACTCGGTACTTGGGTTGAGATCAGAGACTATGGAGGTTGGCAATGGAAACATTGGTATGTTGATTCTTTATTCAGTTTTGGTCAAATTTATGGCTCATGCATATTTTTTTTATATCACAATGTTCTTTACATCATTCATGCAATTCCATAAGCTATTACTAAGGTGAAATTAGGGGATGTGTCACTGGAAAACAACTCGAAAATATGAGAAATTACCTTGAAGATGGTAAGGGTGGTTATATGTGGGATAAGCTGGATGGTTATAATGATGGTGGAAAGGGTAGTTTGGATGATCATCCTGAAATGCAGGAGAAGGTCAGAAGAGTTGTTACTCAAGGATTTATTGATCCCGAAGATTGGAAAGGGGTATGTATTCTCATTCTTCCTTCTCCCTAACAATCCACATCAAATTCATTAACAAAAAACCAGGATCCAGAAATGAATACACTTGGCAAATCAGGAACTCGCACCGTCGAATCAAAGAAAAAGTTCAAGGAGCAGAAATCAGCCGACATGGGTAGTCTAACTGAAATTCAAGCAAAATGGGACGAAGCCCTAAGAGAGAAAGAGCTATTGGTTAAAGATGGGAAGGAGAATGGTATGAAACTAAAGGCTCTAAATAAGAAGATTGAGGAGTTTTCGAAGGAAATGGACCGTCGTCGCAAGGAAGAAGAGAAACAAAAGGCGTATAGAGAAAGTAGTGCGGTTAAAGCTGAGAGCGCTAATACACCAAAGAAGAGAAGTAGAGTGAAGAAAGAAGATATTGATGAGGAAGAACAAGAGGACGAAAAACCTGTAAGGAAGAAGAGAGGTGGGAAAGTTAAGAAGGAAGAGGATTCCGAAGAAGAGGTTATGCCAGTTAAGAGAGCTCGTGGAAAAAAGATTGCGGTTAAAAAAGAAGAGGATGAGAAACCTGTGAAGAAGAAGAGAGGTGGAAAAGTTAAGAAGGAAGAGGATTCCGAAGAGGAGGTTTTGCCAATTAAGAAAGCTCGTGGAAAAAGAGTTGCGGTTGAGAAGGAAGAAGAGGATGACGACGACGAAGAAGAGGAAGCAGCCAAACCCGTTCCCGTTAAGGAATCTCGTGCCAAGAAACCAGTCATCAAAAAGGGAGTCAAGGAGGAAGATGACGATGAGGATGAAATCTTAACCAAATCAGCTCCAGCCGCGAAGAAAGGCCGCAAGAACTCGAAGAAAGTTAAGGAGGAACCTAAATCAGAAACTCCAGATCTAGTTTCTGATGATGATACTTCCAAGAATCAGAAAGCTGAACCTCTTGATGAGGAGATGAAGGATGAGGAAGATGAAGAAGAGGTTAAGCCTGTAAAGAAGACTAGAGGGTAAGTTTTCCGCATTCTCCTTTGTTATATTTTCAGAGTCGATGAATGTGTCATACTAAAAAATTAAGTAGAAGACCAGCAAAGAAGACAAGAGCTTGATGGAAACTCTGCGAAATTTTACCCTCTATCAGATATCTTTTGGTATGATGTATCGAGGCATCCTCTCAAATGCAATGAGCTGCGTCTGTTGAGTGTAGTAACGAGATCGGTATGTCTTGCATGGGGGAACTGACGAATGAGTATATTTAAGAAGGAAATAAAATGGAGCGGAACGGTATATTATGATAAAACCTTGAGGAACGGGGTCATCTGAGGGAATGATTGCTAATTATGGAGGAGAGCTGTATAAGAGAATAAATGGAAATGGCAATAAATTGGGAAGTAATAGCTGTAGCTGTAGCTGTAGTTGTGCTTGTGCTTGTGATTATAATATAAATGTAAGCTTACCTACTAGGTAGTTATAGTTATCAACGAAGACAGACTCCTAGGAAACAATTCAAAGAATGGATGTAAGACTTGAGAAATACCTAGTGCTGATTTATAAATAAAGTGGTATTGAGGTTAAATGAAGTTAGGTAGGTAGATAGGTAGATATACAGGTATGATTATGATTATGATTATGATTATTAGATTTATTAGATTTATTAGATGGATATATTACTATGTAGTCTTAAGAAGGAAACAGTTCGTCTTATTTAACCTTACATTATTTATATAGTCTTACAATCTAATTTACTATTTAAGATATTAATTCTACTTTTGAATTTAAAAATATACATGTAGATCCTCTATTTGCTCCCCTTTCCCCTCACAACATACCATCGGGACATATATATCTCAATCCTTTCAATTGCACACTACACACTACACTTCATCTATAACTTTCCCCTTCCAGCCTCCTCAACAACATCACCTATTTTCCTAACTACTTCTTCTAATTCCCCTGCACCTATAGCACCTACACCGCTATACCAATCATAAGCTCCCTCTCCCTGTTTCAAATCCCTTCTCTCTTTCCATTCTTGATCAATACCCGTGGTCCACTCCCACCTAACTGAAATTCTAATCTTTTCTTTCCCCTTTTCCCCAACCCTACCTGGTACTTCCGGTCCCAGAATCGGGATTGAAGAAACTTCAAAACTCATTTGTTTAACCCCTCCCTCATCGTTTAATCCCGAGAAAATTTTTCGAAGAATATTAGCTTGTGTTGTTACTTTCCATCCTTCCTCTTCTTTTGTAAACGGAGAGGAGAAAATATAAGCTAACCAACAACCCATTGCCCATAAAATATAATCTTTCACGTAATCCCACTCTGCAACTGCTGGGGGAGGTGGGCAGATTTGGAGAAGAGGGGAAGTATCTGGTGTGATGCGTAGATAGTAAACTGGGCGAGAATAATTTTGAGTAATGGTTAGAGTGCGGATTTGAAGGATAGAGGGTACAGGAGTAAGTGGTGTGGTATGGGAAAAGGATGATGGAATGGAAGAATGAGGTGGTGATGAAAGAGGAAATGGAAATGTGATGGTCGTTAGGAATTCTAAGTGATTTGTTAAAGTTGTGAGTATTCTTTCCGGAGTTGAAAGGTTTTGGAAAGAGGAAGAAGTGCCTGGGGTGATGATATAAGTTGGTGGGGTTGAAAGGCAGGCTGAGGTAAGAGCTGTGCAGAGAGGCGTGAGCAGTGAGTGAAGAGATGAAATTACGGTTTCATGAGCGAAGCGGGTTAAAAGAGAGCGTAGGATGGGGAACGGATTGTTTGGACGAGGTTGACCAGAGATTGGTGGTGGTGGATTGGTTCGAATACGATGGTGTCGGCGATGTGAAAGAGAAAGGAGAAGATGAAGAGTTAGATAGATACCATTGGCAAGGTATGAATCTGGTCGTGGACCTAGAACTGGCCGAAAAGGATCGGTAGGTAATGTTTGAAGCTCGATTAAAATCTTCTTAGTTGGAGAAAGTGGAAATGTGATTGTATTCGTTTTGGAGTCCGATTGTAAACCATGAGATGCGAGAGTTCTTACCTCCCGAATCATTTCTTGCCAAAGTTCGGATGTGAAAATAGTATTTCGTGCTTGAAGAATTAAATCTTGAATAGGTGCATCTTGCGGGACAGCTTTGGGAAGTATAGTTTCTCCAGTTGTAACTCCATTGGTTTCAACCAAAACTCGTAAACTTTGAGGTTCCGGACTTGTGATCCCTTGGTCAAGATATATTGATCCATCCGGATTTCGTCTAAGTGCTCCAAGACTACGATTTCTAAATGTTGGCGAGGCTATCATATGTTAGCTTGAGCTAAATTATAAAGGGTTAAATGAACCAACCTTCTGCAAATCCAAATCTAACACCCAATGTATGCTTTTCTTGGGGCAATCGACATACTGCCCATCCACTCTCACTAACAGCCAATACTTGTTCCCAGTATTTTGTTTCCGCATCAATTTCTTTTTCTAACCTTGTCGCAGATGCTAGAATCGCATCCACCGTCTTGCTTAGATTTGATGCTTTCCAACCTTTGGCTATCTTTTTGTTTTCTTTCTTTTGTTCTTCAGTAACTCGTGAGTCTGCTATTTTATCTGCACCCAAGGTACCCGTTCCGGTCAATTCACGAAGTGATGGTGATATTGATAGACTAGCTTGTACAGGCGCATCTTTTGACAGAAGGAGGGATATAAAATCAAGAGATATCATGGCAGCACTATGTGCATGTCTATACTTGAATCAGTATTTGCGCATTGTATTTTGTAAAGAGTAGCATACTCAAGTTGACCAAGAATTTCATCCCTTGCGGTCAAGAGTTCCTTCATACGATCAGGCTCCTCTTCTGCTTCCCCATCTTCACTAGAACTTTCATTCTCCTCATCATCCTCTCCAAGTTCAGCTTCGGCGATTTCTTGTCGTAAACTATCTTCTGATAGATTTCGAAAACCACCTCGTTCGGCATTGATTCTTGCGATCAATAAAGGTAGTGGGATGGAGCTTTTGGCTGGAGTTGGTGCTGGGCGCAAAGAAATTGGAATAGGATTGGGAAGGGAAGTCATTTTGAGGGATGGGATAGCATTCAGTAAGCGATTGAATTATGAAGACTGAATTGAAGGTTGAGGTTGTTTATGATTGATTGAAAGTCTTTCCCCAGGTTTACTTGTAGAACGTAGGGAGTATTATGGTTCTGCGATAGTTGAATTTGAGCATCGACAAACAATCCAAACCATCGACCCGCTAAAAAAGCATTCACCGCTTTTAATTATTGCCAAAATGGAGCGCTAGACGAGCAGTGGGTATTTGATTCTTACGTAGTATGAGGGGTTCAATAGATACATCTATCTTTATATACCTAGTATATCCAAAATGTATTTGATACTATTGATACTGTTGATACTTCTTTATTTCATTCATACTCGTCCAATCAAATGCTTACCTCCATTCACATTCACCACGTTCAAATAATTCTATCATCTCAGTGGAAAGTTACCTACCTAGTACTAAGTACGACACGAGCTTGTGATGTCAGATGTATGCTGTAGCGCCCGAATTGAGTCCGATCACTACCTTGTATATCTCTCAGGTACCAAAATATCACCAATCATGGCAACCATTAGGGTATCCGCCTTTATAACACTCCGCCAAAAAAGACATGACACCAGATAATTATAAGAAAAATGGAAACCGAACAAGCACACTCAGGGTAATGCGGGTAATGCATGGCTCATGAATGGATCACTATAGACTTCCAAGATATTATGATAAAACCGCCGAGAATGCGATATTGGCTTGGGTTGCATTTGAAGTGTGTTTGAAATATGTACTGCGAGAGAATGAATACTTCACATCATGTTACCATACAAGTAATGAAAAGGGTTAACCACCAGTGTACCTACCTAGGTCATATACCTCTACATCTTGCATCGACTGACTCTTGCATACAATACATCCTCCTTACCCAAAGTTCTTTATATCTTCCTACAGCTTCAATATCATTGGCTTTTCAGCTGATCCCGATAAGCAGCCATTTCATCCCCCCTTGTAACAAGCTTTATCGTAACAATCAGAATTGACAAGGCCTCAGCCCACCAAAAAAGACATGGACCCATCTTAAAACTCTCAACTTTTCGTCATTCCCTTGAAAACAATCCTACTTCAATACACACATCTCATATCTTAAACTTTATTCCTCAGTCTTCACTGCTTTTTAATTATACCCAAGATCCCTTTCGTCTGCTTCTCTTCTCTTCTCAACTCACCTCGACCCCATTCGTTTTACCTGCAACGCAAACAACTCAAAAATTCATCATGGCTCCTCAACCCCCACCACCCCTCGAAGGGAAGAAACGACGCATCGCCATCATGACCAGTGGAGGTGATTCTCCTGGTATGAATGGTGTTGTGCGAGCTTGCGTTCGAATGGCAATTTACAAAGGATGTGAACCATATTGTATCTATGAAGGATATGAAGGTTTAGTCCAAGGAGGAAAATTGATACAAAAGATGGGCTGGGAAGATGTTCGTGGATGGCAATCAGAAGGAGGTACTCTTATTGGTACTGCCAGATGTATGGCTTTCTACGAACGACCTGGCAGATTACAAGCTGCAAAAAATATGGTGTTGAATGGTATCGATGCTCTCATCATCTGTGGTGGAGATGGTTCCTTAACTGGAGCGGACAAATTCAGAGCGGAGTGGCCCGGCTTGATCAAGGAATTGATTGAGAAGAAGGAGTTATCTGAAGAACAAGTTGCTCCATTCAAACACCTCAATATCGTTGGATTGGTTGGTTCAATTGATAATGACATGTCCGGTACCGATGCTACAATTGGTTGCTTTTCAGCTCTTGGCAAAATTTGTGAGATGGTGGATTACATTGAACAAACCGCTTCATCACATTCAAGAGCTTTCGTTATTGAAGTTATGGGTAGACATTGTGGTTGGTTGGCCTTGATGGCAGGTGTTGCTACTGGTGCAGATTTCGTTTTCATCCCAGAAAAGCCAAGAGCAGATAACTGGAAAGAAGAGATGTGTAAGATCATTCAAAAGGTATGTCTGATCTATCACCACAAGATAAAATCATCCTAACAATCACACAGCATAGACAATTGGGAAAGAGAAAGACAATTGTTATTGTTGCTGAAGGTGCTCATGATCAGGGAGGGAATAAAATCTCTCCCGACATGATCAAAGATCTTCTCGCAGATAAGAACGGACTTGCTCTCGATACTCGTATCTCTACATTAGGTCATGTTCAACGTGGTGGTTCTGCATGTGCTTATGATCGATACCTTTCTACTTTACAAGGTATTGAGGCAGTAAATGCTGTTCTTGAAGCTACACCAGAAACAGTAACTCCATTCATCGCCATTAACGAGAACAAAATTACGAGAAAACCACTTGTTCAATCGGTTATTGATACTCAAGAAGTAGCAAAAGCTATTGAAGCGAGAGATTTTGATAGAGCTATGGCATTGAGAGATGCAGAATTCTCCGATTTCCATGATTCTTACATGACTACCACAGCTACTGATCTTAATAATGACATGCGTCTCCCTGATAAGAAGGTCAGTGATATTAATGACTTACCTTTACTAATGCTAACATCATATAGCACATGAGAATTGCTATCGTACATGTTGGAGCTCCAGCTGGTGGTGTTAATGCTGCTACACGTGCAGCGGTTGCTTACTGCTTAACTCGTGGACATACACCAATTGCTATTCACAACGGATTCGCTGGATTCGCTCGTCATCATCAAGATAATCCAGGATCCGTTAGGGAATTTGATTGGTTAGAAGTTGATGGATGGGCTAGTAAGGGTGGTTCAGAAATTGGTATGAATCGTGAACTTCCATCAGAATCTGGAATGCCATTGATCGCATCACTTTTTGAAAAATTCAAGATTGATGGTCTTCTCATCATTGGAGGTTTCGAAGGTTTCCACGCATTATCCGAACTTCGTCAAGCAAGAGAAAAATACTCTTCTCTTTGCATCCCCATGACTTTACTTCCAGCAACTATTTCCAACAACGTTCCAGGAACAGAATACTCAATTGGTACTGATACTTGTTTGAATGAACTTGTTCGTTATTGCGATACCATCAAACAATCAGCTTCAGCTTCTCGTCGTCGTGTTTTTGTTATTGAAACTCAAGGTGGTCGATGTGGTTACGTCGCTACAATGGCTGGTCTTGCTGTTGGTGCATCAGCTGTTTATACTCCTGAAGAAGGTGTTAGTATTGCTATGCTCTCAGCAGATATCGCACATCTTAGAGAAGTTTTCGAACAAGACAGAGGTCAAACAAGAGCTGGTCGTCTAATTCTCATCAACGAAAAGGCATCAAAGGTTTATCACGCTAAACTCATTGCTGACATGATCCGCGAAGAAGCCGGTGAGCGTTTTGAATCCAGAGATAGCATCCCAGGTCACGTTCAACAAGGTGGTACTCCATCCCCAATGGATCGTACCCGAGCTGTTCGCTTAGCTATCAAATGTATTGAACATCTCGAAAAATACGAAGCTAAAACAGACAAAGAAATTATCGCGGATAAACAAAGTTCTACGGTTATTGGTATTAAGGGTGCACAAGTAGTCTTCTCTAATATGGCTGACGTAGAGGAGAATGAAACGGATTGGCCTAATCGAAGACCAAAGGATGAATTTTGGTCTGGAGTTAAGGGAGCAGTGGACATTCTTGCTGGTAGACCTGATGTACCAAGACCGGTAAGAAGGTTGGTAGGTTGGAAAGCGAAGGATGTTAAGAGAGGTTTGATGTGAGGGATGATGGGATGATGGGGTGATTGATGGGTAGAGAATATTTTTACATGGGATGATTGAGGTACTGGGCATTTGTCCTAGAATGATGAATTGGGTTGGGTTGGGAGAATGAATCATGAAACGAGATGAGATAAGAATGAAAGAGAATAGGAAAGAGATATGAGACACGAGGGACGTGATACGAGGGAAGAATTGATGGTGATGAGATTCAAATGTTTTGATGGAGATGAATGAATGAACGAATGAATGGATGAGATTAAATGAAATGAAATGAAATGAATTCAGTTGAGTTGAGTTGAGTTGAGATGCAATAAATAGCATAAATATAAACATATTTATAATCAGTATGACCTCAGGATCTAGATAATCAAAATCATTTTGATGATGTATTTTTATTTGAGTGATTTTATTTATTTATATATGAAATTTAAAAATGATGGGAGGGTTAAAATATCATATCAATTATTAATAGACAATTAAAAGATATAATTTCTTAATTCTCAAATTTTTAAAATTTTATTTGAAATTATACAAGATTATTATTACTTAATAAAGAATATTTGATTTTGTTAAAAGGAATGACCTCACACAGGGAATAGTGGGAAGCTGATAGGGCAGAACTGAGGTAATATTGGTCTAGTAGGTTAATCTCTCTTCTAAGTTCTACGGAAGTGCGAAGCTCTCTTACAGAGAGCTTCTCAATCTAGTCCTAATAGGACTAGTGCCCCGTGCACGTGCTACGCAGGAACCATTCACTTTAACAGATTTGATAATTTTTATATAATGTGACCAAAAGGGTGTTTATAGACCAGCAATTGTATTTAACTTGGAATCTACAGGTGAAGAGCACCTGTAGATGGGGATAGCTACTCTATATATACACAAATGAATGGCCTAGCCGCAATGGCTAGGCAAAAAGAAGTCATATTTATCCCTCCAATGATCTTACTTTACCGATAACCATTGATACCTAGTACTTGTCCGGATCTGATCCTCAGACCACCTAAATCGTATACTAATCCCGAGTAATCGTATCATGTGTGGACATGGTTAATGTACCTGAGGTTTCTTATATAATAAGGGTGGGAGGAAAGCAGGGGTTTCCGTCACAATTATATAATAAAGGATTATTTTTAAAAAGATAAAAGGACTCTTTTGTTACGACGGGCTACACAACTACCAAGACACGTGATCACAAATGATCAATAGTGATCATTAAGGATCACTAAGGATCACGGTATAGGTGATCACTGATGATCATTAAGGATCACTAAGGATCACGGTATAGGTGATCACTGGTGATCATTAAGGATCACTAAGGATCACGATATAGATGATCACTAATGATCATGAAGGATCACTAGTAATCATGGAAGCATGAAGGACTATATAACGTAATTTATCACCGAGTGGGCCATATCACCGAGTGGGCCACTTTCACCTCAATTTACACTTTCAAGTACATATTATTCAACAACAATTGAATCAATTGATTGAAACTATTAGGAATCTAATAATCTAGGATCTATTATATTGATTTGACAAGTTCTTGAATTATGACCTGGCTTTCCACACTTACTACAGCATCTACTAGAAGATGCTTCCCCATTAGAATTCCCCCCATTTTGACGCTCGTCGCGTTGAATCTGAATATCAACCTCTTGTTGAGATAATATATCCATAGCTTCTTGTCCAGTAAGTACTCCTCCTTGCCGTAATTGAGTTTTTTTTGCACGTCGATGTTTGCTTAATGCCTCATTTGCCTTCCGAAGTGTACGGTTTTCTGCACTTAAAAGTGTATTTTCATGTGCCAATCTTTCTGTGCCTTTAGCTAAAGCTAGTACAGTTTTGAATATAGGTGTAGGAGAGCTTGATTGATGACGAGATATTCGAGATTTTACTAAAGTTGATTGAGAAAGAGCTTCAGTTGGATTGTGAGGGGTTTGAGAGATCCAAAGATCCAAATCGAAAGGAGGAGGAGTAGGTGTATGAATTCGAATATCTAATTTTGAGAGTACAGCTTCGGGATTAAATGGTATTAATCCAGCTCCTCGAAACCCAGCTTTCATATTCTGAACTGTAATTGATTCTTGATATGCAGCTTTAAAAGCTATAAAGAATTCAACCTTGGAGATATGATTGATATGTGCCTTGATAAATCCATCAATTTGACAACCATACGAACGTTTTAGGACACTAAAACACCCAACATCAAGTGGTTGAGTTAAATGACTTGAATGCGGTGGTAATCTTATACATATAATATCATTTGCCTTGCAATATGACTGAAAAGATATTGATTCATGACTTTCGTGTCCATCTAATACTAACATTCGATATTTGCCCTTTCTTCGATGAATCGTATGTTTATCGAAATGCTTTAACCATTCTAATCCTGTCTCATTATTCGTCCATCCATTGGAAGTAGGTTTGATAGCCCAATCCGCAGGAAAATCGGTTTCGGTGTACCAATTGGAAAGATGTATTTGTCCTTGAACTACCAGAAATGGAGGTATAGTTTCACCCTCCCCATTACCACATATAATTGCTGTAGCCCATTCTCGATTGCCTGGTTGTACTGCTTTACCTCTGCCTCGTCGTTCAGCATCAGTTACAACCATTGCAGCATTTATAATCCCTATCATAAAGCCTGTTTCGTCGAAATTATAGAAATCGCAATCCAGAATACCATATTTTGCTCGCATATTCGATACCAATCGAAACCACTCCTCAAGAAGCTTAGGGTCTTCGCAGAGAGCTCTTTGAAAATCATAAACACGACTAAAACGCGTCTTTAATTCTGTATGACGCTTTACGAATCGATGAGCCCAGAGCTTTCCAACTTTCTTCGCATTTCTTGATTCAAGAATATAATTCGCCATATCTTCTACACCCTTGATTTTAGGTGGAAATCCTCTTCGATCCATATCAAGTATGTATTCAACAATCACTTTCTCTTCCAATTGTGTAATCTTATGGCAATTCGCTCGAGTTTCTGTACGTGGAGTTAAACCATCCATTCTGTGGCTGATCGTTGTGCGAGGTATATTATATAGTTGAGCAGCCTTCCGAATGCTTAGTTTTTTATCTTTTTGAAAAGCTTCGATAGCTAAGAGTAAACGTGCTTCTTTATTTGTAGATTGCATAATAAATGGTTGATAAATCGCGTGTTGAATATGAAGAGTGTGAATTGAGGTGAAAGTGGCCCACTCGGTGATATGGCCCACTCGGTGATAAATTACGTTAATCAAGATGGATTTCCTTTGTATAGAGCTTCGTGCTCAAGATCAATCATTTAGTATATCCTACTATTAGTTACGAATTGCATTTCATTATTGTCATTACTTAAGTCCCTGCTTGACGCCTAGTTATAAACCACCTCGAGAGCCTAGAGCACTTCCACGTGATCTAGACGGCAAACCTCGTAACATCTTTGAATTCTTTTAAAAATTACTTTCATTTATAATTTGAAACCTTTATATATATAGTCTTAACAGATAGATATTTTAAAATTGTATTTATTTTTTCTTGTATATATATATATATACATCTATCTAGTATCTCTCTAAAACCATCTTACAAACCCTCTCTCTATCATATCTCTCACCTAAGATCACATCATCACAATCACAATCACCTCTACATCAAACCTACTCCCTACACCTCTCCCAAAACTCCGCCGCCTTCTTAACAGCCAACACAGCCTCCTCTTCAAACCCCACAATATGTCCCGTCAACATAATATCATGCACGGCATTCCCATCAATCTGCAACTCCGTCTTATTCCCCACCTCAGTAAACTCCCCATAAACCCTCACAATATCATCGAAAAGCACCTCGCACTCCCCCGCACTAAAAAACAACGGCGTAGAACTCCTAAACGCATTTCCTATATAAGAAATACACGCATCTGATAACTGAACCCCTGTTCCCTCCAAAGGCGCCAATCCTTGCGCACCCCAACTCGCAAATTTCTCATGCACGTAATCAGTTGTCGCGCGACTATTTTCCCGGAATTTTTCTTCAACCATCGCGCTGCCGATATCAACCCATGCAGACCATAACCATGCACATCCCGGATGGGGAAGTCCTGCAGTGGGATTATCGTGTATGTATCTCAAGAGCGTTAGGGTTAGATTTCCCCCCGCACTATCGCCCGACACGACGATGTTTTCGGGAGGAATTCCCAATGTCTCGGTTAAATAGCAGTAACTTGTCACGGCGTCCTGTAATGCGGCGGGAAATCTCCCGCTGGTATCGTTGGAGAGTCGGTATTGTGGACAAAATATGTGGGTGGCGTTGGTGTGAGATAGGAATGTTTGGGCGGCGAATCCGGTGTCTTTTATGCGGCCGTCGCCGACTACGTAGGCGCCGCCGTGGAAGTGGAGGATTATTTTTATATTATTGGTGGTGGTGGCGGTTTCGGATGGTGTTAGTGGGGAGGGATACCATGTCCCGCCGATTATTTCGGGGACGATGGACGGATTGGATGTGCTGACTCCTTGGTAGCGGGTTGGAGATGCGGGATTAATGGTGCAGAATCGCGTGCCTTCGTTTTTGGGTTGCAGTGTTAGGATGGTTCCTGATTGGGTGAGGGAAATGTATTTTATGAAGGCTTTGCCGAGGAGGATTCGTATAGATTGGTTGTAGGTCCATTTGGAACAGGGTCGGTTGAACGGGAAGATGTAATATGTTAGGTAGAAGGGAAGACTGATGAGATTTGATGTGAGGGCGCTGATGATATAGAGTTGTTTCCCTGGGAAGGTCGTATAGAAGTGGGATGAAGCCATGGCGAGATACGAAGTATGTGAGCTTGGATTCCGTTTTCCCACTGTTCAATGGACTTGTTATTATTTGCCCTGTCTTCAATCTCTTTTCATTGAGATTCGAGAAGTTAGAATGTCATTGAGTTCTGGTAGGAAGGTGTATATATATACGTTTACAAAATTCCCCAATAGTGCCCCATATTATCACGAAGGAAAAAACGTAGCAGGAAAATGCCAACAAACAGCTTGATTGAACCCCGCCAACAAACTTCAGGGGTTAGTACTTGCACGGAAGATGGGAACAAACTAGTGCGAACGAATATGAAAACATGTCTCGGTACTTAGTACAGTACCGTCCGTCCCTGGCTATATCGGAGCAGGATGTACCGGATCCTGAGTATATCGAAAGAGTTTCCTGATTTGATAGATTTCTGTTTGTTTGAGAATACCGGATTGTTAGTATGTTTCGGAATACTGAATTCTTTGAAATTGAATCTAATATACTCAAGATATTTTTTAATATAGAATAATATGAATAATCTGTTAAAGTGAATGGTTCCTGCGTAGCACGTGCACGGGGCACTAGTCCTATTAGGGCTAGATTGAGAAGCTCTCTGTAGGAGAGCTTCGCACTTCCGTAGAACTTAGATAATGAGTGATTCATATACAAGACCAATATAGCCTCAGTTCTGCCCTATCAGCTTCCCACTATTCCATGTGTAAGGTCATTCCTTTTAACATAATCTTATATTTTTTTTGAACAATAATATTATCCAATCACTATAAATAGTTTTAAAAATAAAAAATAAAAATTCTAAATATAAAACTCATATAATTTTTTATAAAATTATAAATATATTTTTCTAATCAGAATTCTCTTTATAACAGATTTAAATAATCAAATTCTATCCTATCCTATATTATATTTCACATTTATTATAGCATAAGATTATAAAATACCACATTAAAATTCATTCCGTCAAAATCCGCTCTCTCCATAGGTAACCTAGGTGATCAGGTCACTAATCCCTAACTCCGAGTAAAAGAATCAACAAAGTGGATGAAAATATCCACTCTTTTAATTCCATCCAATTACACTCCATATACTCCATATTACAGAGTTATAGATTTCGACGGAACGAAAAAGTGAGGAACATCCATTGCATTGCAATGCAATTCACGGAAAAAGCGGCTTATTTTCTCGGAAGACGGATGTTTAATTAACTTTAGGTTAACCCTAGCGATGGACTTTAGAATGAATAGTTTCGGATGGTAGTTTAGGCTTTAATTTTTATTAATATCCGATGAATAAATTTGGAGTACTGTATGGATAAGATTTAACTTTTGATAGGTAGGAGGTAGGTAGGTTATATGATATACTCCTAGCTCATTTTTTGTCGGTGTTTATATCTGGAAGAGGGAAAGAAGCTATAATCCCATCCCTTTGAGCGCGGATTGTAACTCTGTATACTCGCAGATATTGTCTATATCGAGGGATTGGGATTAGTACTTCTATTCATCATTTTAGCACGCACCTTTTGGAGTTTTAGGGGAGTCGGGTGTATACGCGTATAGATGGAATAAATGGTAACTTTATCTATACGATGATACTAATACACCACCAACTTATTGATGAAGGATGGATAGACTATATCTATTACCACCTACTTCAATACAGTCAATTCGATTGTCATTCGTATGAGAATTAGAATAATACACCAACTATATTTCTTCCTCAAACCATCATAATTACTCTCTAAGGAAAATAGACCTCGAAAGTCCGTTCCAGATTAGCTATAGAAAAGAATAAAGTATATCTCTATCTGAAAAGAAAACTATCATTTACACAAGAAAGTAAATCTTTCTCCCTTTTGGCCATACCATGTAGAATTATCTGGTAAGATCACCTCCTTTCCCTTCCTAATTTTTAAAGTACCATACGCCTTCGTAAAGTCCTGCCACATTCTTCCAAAGTATAAATCATCCCTTCAAAACCCCTCATATCCCCAAAAGTCTCAAATCTACAAAATAACCATCAACCCAAAAGTACCACCGACTACCGGAATCAACATTGCCACATTAACATTAGCAAGATGGGTTGCTGCGCCGGTAAATGGTACGTAGGTAGAATAACCCAAGATTGAAGAAGTTCCTGCTGGGCCTGCTGGAACCCGAACACTGGAGGAAGCTAAGACTGTTTTACATCCACCAGGTGGACAAACGGATACAGTCGTTACTGCATGTGTAGGAGCTGGTGAGGGAGCGACATAAGTGATGATTGTAGATGGAGCTTCACCTTCGATTTCTGACACGATGACAGTGGCGCTTGGACCGGCTGGATAAGTGATATAAGTAGTGATGCCGAAGCCGTAGATGGAAGTTGTGTATGTAATAGGCGATGGTGCAGGTACGTAGATGGAAGGTTCGGGTAAGCGAGATGCGGGTTCGGAGTGAGTTCCGAGAGTGGGTGCTGGGACGATATAGATGGATGAGGTTGGGAGTGTGCTGTATATTGGACATGTGGGCATGGTATATGGAAGACAAGTTTTGCATGGGAGGATGGTGGGTGGAATTGGTGTCCAGGTGTAGGATGTTGGGACTGCAGTTTCGTGGCATGATGTTGTGGTGGCGGTGATGAAACCTCCGGTTGGACATGGAATACCTGCACTGAATAAAGCACATGCGTAGCAAGGATATCCTACGGTTGATGTACTCCAGATTGGCTTATGTTCTGTGGAAAAATCACTTGTGATGTAGGAAGTGACTGATATACTTGTTAGTGGCGTTAATAGAAAATGAAGGGTAGATAACTAACCAGTCTTGTCCCCAACAGTATGGCATGATTCAATTATAGATACATAGACGATGATTTCAACACCAACAACCTTGTCTCGGGTTGGACATGATGGAGTTACATATGGAGGAATGAAAGTTCTGAAAACATTTAGTAACAGACTATTCACCAACCACAGATTACTTACGTAGTAACAGTCGAGATATCATGAATAGTTTTGGTATCATGATCTGTAACGGTATCGTGAATGGTGGCAGTCACATTTCTGTTGTGATCGATAGTTGAAATGACAGTTTTGTTTCCATAAGGACCAGAAAGCCCACCAGATCCTGATGGGTAATATGTTGGAAGAGTGGCAGATGCAGATGGAGTGTAAATTGGAGTTGTGGTATTGGGTGTCAAAGCTGGAAGACAATGTCCATCACCAGTCGGGCGACCAGATTCACACTTACAACTTGCTGAACATCCATCACTAGCTACTGTATTACCATCATCACACTCTTCATTCAATGATGCTTCCCAAATTCCATCACCACATCCAGCTGGAGTTGCACCGCGACTAATGATATATGGTAATCCAATTGTCTTATCACCGAAAGTTTGTGATCCCTCACCAATAACATCTTGAGCAATAGCAAGAGCCTCGAAACCATTGATTCCAACGGATGGATAACTGGAAAAAGCTTCATGGACACTGCAAGACCAGCTGGATAAAGCAGCATCATTAAGAGTTTCGAGTGCTGGGGAAGATGCAACAATATGAGCTTTGTTGTAGCAAGCAAGGTTTCCTCGGACGGTGAAATCTCCAAAGTATGAGAGAGATTCTACCTTTGCGGAATCCACATCATTGTAGTAACAAGATAAGGCATAGTAAAGACCAGTCTGTTGAGCACCAGCAAGACTTTTGCCAGATGCTGCGAATTTGATGGAGTTATCGATCAAAACTTTAGCGCCAGGTTGAGCTGAGAAGTGGAAAGTAGGATCCGTGCCTAGTATACAGGTTATTAATTATATAAGGATTTTGAAAAGTGATCTGAGCTCCTTACCAATAACGACGATGTTTCCCTGAACTGCTGGTCCCCAAATATTTTTGGTATCAGTCAAGAATTGAACATCACTTGGTGATGTCGAGCAATCTGGATCGGCAATGACAATAGCTTTGAAAGCAGCAAACTCGGCTGTTCTCATTGTCTTCCATTGTGCTTCACTGACCACCTTTGTGGTATATCCAAGGACAGATGTTGCCTCCACGAACTCTTTATATTCAAATTTATCGACAAAAAGGAGATCTTCTGCAAGTACAGAAGCTGCTAGACTGACCAATAGGCCACTAGTAGAGAACTTCATTGTGATAAGGGAAGATTGATGAAGTATTCGAAATATATTAAGAGAAATTGTCTGTGGTGAGTAGAAAAAACGAGTGTGTCTGTTAAAGAGCGACTGAAAGAGAAACGAGTAACGATATGGAAAGGTCAAGAAGTGGTAGGAAGACTAAATTGGCATATAATATATACACAAGGAAATCAAATACTTTCATCATGTTTCTACTCATGACTTTGAAGTGATATTCATGGCTTAGGAGGCTGCGAGTTAATAGACCGTGACAGATAGAGGGCTGAAGTGTTATAGACAAACTGAATAATGGAACAGCCAATATACGTTCAGATTGTCTGAGATATCTGTATGATAGATCGTATATCAACATCGTACCTGCATAAATTCGGAAATCGTTTGCGCCTCAAAAACCCTGCTTCTCCCTACTGCGATCCTGTGTGTTGTTTTCAGCTCAACAGCCATAACCTTGGCACTGAGTGGAAAGGTTTCACCAAATGCTTTTTGTGAAATTTAAACCAAATTTAGAGAGATGAGGAGATTAGTGAAAAGGTATACGATAATGAAAGCATAAAATAATTTCCAGTGGCCAGCCGTGTTTGTATTGCTTTACAAGAACCGGTTTGTCAGGTTTAGGTGGGTTAACGCAGGGACAATTAAAGTTATCTCCCCCAGAAAAAGAGATATTAACAAGCCGAGGATACGCCAAGTGGAAACTAGATTGATCTCAATCAGAGGATAATTGAAGCCTCAAATGGAGTTGGTGAAGCTAACAAGTGGCACTTGCCAATGGAGTCGACGATGCCAAAGGGAGTCACGTCTAGAACTCCTGGGCTTCTAGACCTCAAAAATAGTCTTAAACGATATAAATATCAAATCCAATCATCATATTTGAAAGATATGGGCTCAAAAGTAGGCAATAAACAGTCAACGGAAGGATTGAAGGAATATCGTTGTGGTGCGAAACGGGGCGCGACATTTTGATCCGTCTGAATTGGCGTTGATTTCAAGGCACCAGAATTCGAGACGAGATTCATCACATGATGACTAATGAATGATTACATAACGGCATCTACCATGTCTCAAACTTGTAATCTTATTTCCTACCTCCTTCACTAATTTTTCTATTCAAGCAACTTCATGTGGCTATCGAATTCCAAGCATTGAGATTGTTGAACCGTATGGAATAGCATGAAATATATAACTTAATATATACATCTTTCCATAGTGCATTCGACTTCTTACCGTCAAATGTTTTCAATCGCAAATTTCGTCAAGGTTACCGCGCGCTTATATCAAATTACCTTCCTGACCTTTACTAGCATGACACAGATCACTACGTGAAGTTCCTCCTCATGCCTACCTAGTACATTTCTTTGCTGATTATGAAGGTTGTAAGACTTACTTGTCTATATGGAGAAGTATACCACAGCATCCATTACATATTTGGAGCTGAAGATGGTCTACATTTGAAGTCCAACAATGGGGGTTCGGTCGTTGATATCTCATATTTAGGTGGGAGATGTCTTTTTTTCTGTCAAGTATTACTTTTAGATATATTTTCAAAAAGTCGTCTTGTTTTACCTTGAATATACGTTTTTAATTCTTTTTAATCCCATCAAAATGAGCACCTCAGTTCAACACATTCCTCTCCCAATCTCTCCATACTCCTCCTCCCCCAAGCCAAATTCGAAAGCTCAGTTCCCCATTACCCACCTCCCATCAGACATTTTAGTTACTCTCCTCCGCCTAATCCCCTCCCCCCAGACCCTGTCCGCGCTGTCCCTCTGCTCAAAACAACTCCACCACTACACCACTCCATACCTATACTCCCATTTCCAACACCACGGCGAGACCTGTACTTCTCTCCCCTCATTCCTCTATATTATTCTCCACAAACCACAATTGGCACTTTATACCAAAACATTTACTGCTAATGCACTGTTGGGCTATTGTACCGACATCGATATGTCTATATTTACAACCAGAGATTGGGGTATTCTCGCCCGCCGTCTTAAAGAAGTTCACATTTCCGAAAATGGAAAACGAGATCCGTACTTTAATCCTCATATTTCCTCCCAATGGTATTCATTTATAAGACAGGGGAATTGGGATGCCATCGTTGCATTTATACTCTGTCTCCTTCCGAATATGCATACACTCAATATAGTCAACCATGCAAGTGGCTGTCCCTACGGATATCCATACCTCGAAACCGTGCTCCACCGAGCAGCAAAGCTACAACACCGACGACTTGTCTCCCCGGATGGTCCACCGCAGCCTTATTCATTCCCTCATTTACAAAACCTACATCTTGCAAAGCACGATTTAATACATTATCCACGAATGGGATTTGAAATTTTACGTCTACTTCCCTTCTTGGCTATTCCTTCTGTCCAGAAGGTTGAGACACATATGATATCGGATTATCATTTTCCTTCTTCTACTCTCCCCACTGACTTCCTTAACCGAAATCGTTCACAGCAGCCTCTTCATGCAGCATCCTTTAAACTACCAAGCTTCTACTCCTTTCCCCTCCCCAATTTCACATTCACAACTACCCACCTAACCCTCTCGCACACCGTTCTTCGCAACTCATCACTCTCTACATTCTTCTCCTATTTCCCATCTCTCAAATATTTATCCTGGGAATGGAATTACTCCCCAGGAAACGCCAATCGAGAAGGATTGGTGTATAATTTCGACATCACCTATTTTTTCAATTCTATCCACCACTTAAGAGATATACTTGAGGTATTGAAAGTGCGTATTTGCACTAAGCCAATTTATGAAGGAGGAGACGAGAAAGAGGGTAGTCAAAGTGAACGAGATGAATGGATATCCATTCTTAGCTCTTTCACGAAATTGAAAGAGCTTGAGCTAGATATCAAGCCACATATATCCCTTTCCTACAACTACGATACCAATACTCCAGAAGCTCTTACGGAATATCAATGGAAAACATCTCTTCCACGGGCTTCAGTTTCAAGAGGATATATTGAAGGTAGTAGCGAGCAACCCCGAGGAACAATACGAAATACGGGGGAAGAAGCAGAATTACGCAAACAAACAAAAAGAGCAAAAGATGATTCTTGTAATGAATGTGTACATCGAGCCATACAAACGCGTTCTCGGAAGATGGCAATGTGGATGGTTTCCAGTGGGGAAGGACGAAAATGAAGCTTTATCCGGAGGATTCTACGATGACATTACTCGAGTATGTTATCTTATATGACGTGACGAATGTCCTTCAGCATTTCGATTGCACTATTCCAAGAGAAGTAGACGTTGTCCTATACCAACACTTGGAATGACAAAAAGTCAATTCTAATTTACAGATTCATCATGTCTATGCTACTGAGGCACCCAATTGAAAATATAAGCCCCAAACTAAACAATACACTGAATTGTAAATCCTAGTACTAAAATCTAGTGTTCAAGAACTGCAATGCCCATATCTGCTGATGCCAGGCCGAGCCAACAGCTCATGGGAACTTACACTCTTCCATAGTTTTAATGCTAGGCATATTCCTTTTTTATTAAGACTCACCACATGTTCTTGACTAAAGACATTGTTGAAGTGAATGATCTCTGGACAAAAACTCCCGCCTCATTGACGGGTTCCTTCGCGAACCCCTTAGCTTCGTCTCTTTACCAGAGAGTCCGGTGAGGAATCCCCGAATCCCATGTCCAAATTAATAATTGCCACACTTGAAAAGCTTTAGACTCTTGGATTGATGGGATCGACGCGGGGACGGGCATTCTCAGGGGATGTGATGTGTGGGAATGCCGCAGAATGTTACATTTATAATGGATAAAGAGATATTTCAATTTCATCCATTTCAGACAGACGGTGCATCCGAATGCATATATAGTGTCTCCATTTTACGCTCAAATACAGGAGGACGAATGCCTTGTAAGTAGCCACGGGGTTTCAAACCACTCGATTTTTGTTCCTCGGGTAAACTTCTTAGTTAATGCTCTATGTTGCGTATGTACTTATATCACACAATTCGTTTCACATATCTGTGATTTGAACTTCTCGGACATCCTCCTTTTAATAGAGCATCATCTCTGAATATTTATGCTGCTCTTTTCGTCACCATCAGGGTCAAATGTACTTGTTAACAGCTTAATAAAGGTTTCGAAAAGAAGGCACTCCAGTCCCCGCCATTAATGCGCAGGATTTCATCTCAACATCTGAGGAAATCATCATAAATGACCCGGAAATGGTGTTTGTTGTGAACAGCATGTAGAGTTAATCCCAAACTTTTGGATGCAACAAAATGTTGAAGAATTGAATCGAAGTAACTAAACGTTGCTACCAGACATTGAAATGTGTTGAACGAAAATGAGTTTGTGAATGATGCATGGAAAGGAGTCCAGATTGTCATGTTGTTGCGGACACTGCAAAACTGCCAGGCCAGAATGTCAGGACTGGAGTTGGGAGATAACAGGTCACGTCATAGCAATGATGGAGGATAAACAATGTTAGTTGCAGCAGGCTGATCATGCTGAAATTGTGGATTCGATCTGAAATTATTTTGTATGTGAGTAAAGTTGCGACTCGTATCTAAATTTGATCATGAGTGGAGTAGATTGTCTTGACCAAAGCAAGAGCTCTTTCAGTATCGAGTACCGGTATGTCTGACCTACTACCTAAGGCGTCACGATGTAAACCTCAACGGTGCCTTTATTATTTAGTCGTAGCTTTGTATCGCTCTATCATCGTCTGAGGTGAGAAGATGCTTTTAAGTCCACACAGCTCAGAGAACCTGAGCCGCAATATTGCGCAAATCCTCGAGTTTGAGACTGGTGGCCGAGGGCTTTCTTTGCCTCTACTCTTCCTTCCTCTTCCTCTTTCCATCAAACATCTCATTATAATTTACCATCATGTTCACCTGGAAGTCTCTTGACTCGCTTCTGCTCCCAATCGTCTAAATCTTTTGCCGCCAGTCTCTATAATAGTAGCAGAAATCAGTACATTGTTCCTAAGCATAAGTATGTGATAGCACACTCACGTAGTATTCTTCCTTCATATCCACTCGTCTTCCAGCCTTGCCGATTCCAAGCTCCTCTTCTTTACTTAATCTTTTCACACGTCTATCGTGTTTCTCATATCTGATAGCTGTTGCAGGAGTAAGGAAGAAAGATCCAGCAACCATGGTCAAAATAAATGGTAAACCGAAGAGGGCGAAGGGATGCTTGGCTAGAGCACTACGATACTTTGCGGCGAAAGTATTTGACTCTGCAGCGCCACGAAATTTCTTGCTACCAAAGACTGCCATTTTGTAGATACCTCACGATTTACGAAAAAATTATCAATGATAAGCGAATTATATAAAGCTCGTTGAATATTGAACTGAGAATCCGTAGTAGGTATTGAATGTTGCTTTTCAACAGCCGTTCTTGCACCAAATAAAGGTTTCTAACCTTAAATAATTAAAGTCACGTGCAACCGTGAAACTTTCAATTGTTTTTCGTGTAAGGAACGCGTCGACAACTTATTTTTCCAATAAGTTATTGACCAATCGCCAATTTCTTGTGGAAGCCGTCGTGATAATTGATGGTTATGGAAAGATGGGGCCTCATGACCCGCCAGTCGGCACTCCAGGAGTTTGGGAGATCCCTCCATCAACTATGGCCGCACAATTAATCAATAACCTCTCCACGAAAAAACCGTCGCGACAGGTCGATCATGATGACTTACAATTGCTCATGACGGAAGTTTCTAATCGGGAAAATGATCCCGCTGACTTTGCGGATCCGGATGCTATGCTTGAGCACAAACATAAGCTTTTGTATGTTATCTCAAAAGTAGTTTTGGAGAGACTCAACAAAGATGACCCTTTTATGAATGTCCAAAATGTCACTGATCAGGCTTGTGAAGCATTGGATGTTTTTATTTCGACGGTCAAAGATGTTCCCAATATACTCAATTATGTATCCACTCAGGATCGACCACTCAGAACACGCGGCCGTGAACCTTTCTGGATATGGTTATTTCCGCGCGTTCTGTCATGTCTAGGCCGTCGAGACTGCAAAAAGCTCAATGAAAAGATCGAGCTGTTTCTCTCTACCGCATTTGAGGTCGTAGCAAAATCGCCAAAGCTTTGGGGACTTGGTTCCGTCTTTTTCTCCTACCTCAAGGATAGTGTAACTAGTAAGTATACCTACAAATGTGCTTCACTTAACAATTGCTTATATTTCCCAGGCATTCTCACTATTCTTCACAATCTTAGCCTTGTTACGCATGGAAAACCAATTGACTTTATACTACCTTCTAATCAATTGAAACTTTCAGCCTTTTCGTTCGACAATGGAGAAGATCTGGATGAATCATCTCTCCTATGTACATATAGACTGCGCGATGCATCAGGTGCGATTCAACATGCGATATGCATTTTGTCCATTCTAGTAAAGGTTTCGATCCAAGCCGCATCTTTTCAAGATGCAACACCCGCTTTTCAAGACTACCTAGCATGGATGCTTGACTCGTTCCATTCGACCTGGGAGTTGCATAAGGTCTGGATATCTCCTGGCCTCTTACAAGATAACGAAGTCCCAACGGTTGCGCTCTTTTGTGCACTCCACGCTCTTCTATCGTCCATCCAGACTTCGTTGTCAGAGTCTTTGCTTCGCAAGGGCTATGCCTACCTTGCAATTATTGGCGCAGATCTCATTACAACCCCCTCAAATATTATTGATAAGGATGTGAATCTTGTATTCTGCCAGGCCCTGTTGCATTTGGCAAATATCTGTAGGGAGTACGACTCGATCTGTAGAACCGTTCGTTCGTTCTTACTTCCCAAACTTCGCACTGTGATCGCTGATGAGGGGGCAAGTATTATAGTGGGAAATGACTTCCAGGTTTGTAAAATTTCCATGTTCCCGGCTTTGACTTACTCTAGCATAGAATGCTTCAGCTGTTTTGACTCGGGCTTGCCGTTCATCAGAGAACAATGATCGCGAGCTTGTTCCGCTTCATGTTCGTTTTGACACGGATTCTCTCAATGACGATTTCAATCTGCTCGCTTTAAAGGATACCGGAGCCCGATCGGCTCCATCATCTCCACCTAGCAAACGTCGAAAAATACATTCCGAAGAAGGTCTTTTGTATGAAATCATCGCCAAGCTATATTCTCTGTTCGGTGATCAAGAGATAATAGACATGGATGGTCTATGCAGGTTGGCCGAGTTAGTATGGAAGTCGACTATTCTTATTTTACTCTAACTTCTTCTAGGCAACGTTTCGCGGGCTTGAAAGATCCTGATCGGTGCAAAGTTATCGATTATTTATCTATGTTACCATGCGCAGCATATGGTTCATTAACTGTTACAAGAGACAAGTTGGAAAACATAACGTCATCTCAATGTTTCGTGTGCGAAAAGCTTCTCCCGAAAACTGCAGTATTGGACGATGATCTGTGTCAGAAGACTGGCACTGAAGCAATTCTGATTCTCACCACGTTGATCAATTCGCCTGCTTTTCACGATTCACGACGGACAAGGGTTTTAGCAATGGTAGCCGTCAAGGCTTTTGCTATGCATTTTAGAGATGAAGAGTTTTTCAATCTGGAAACTTCCGCTGTTGGGCAGTGGTGTCTAAAATCTCTTCAGAGTTCTATGCGTGAACTGAGAATCGCTGCGGGGTATGTTGTTGCTCACCTGTTGTAAATTAGACTTTTACTGAGTGGTTCTAGTCGCACATTACCTGGATTTCTCCAGGGACCGAAAGCCCCACAAGATCTGGTTCTGAAGAACAGGACAAATGTACTGATTATCTTGCGAGATCTGTGCGAAAAGCACACCCTTCACTTGCAAGAGACATGTGTTCTTGCTTGGGGTCAAATTGCAAGGTCCGTATGCCTCAAAACACGCACGTACTTTTCTCATGCTTACAATGTTAGGGTTTTGACTGATGGCGACCTGAATATTGTACTGCTAAAGCTCGTAGAATATCTAGGACATTCCAACTTAATCGTGTCGAACGCGGCCTACAATGAGGTAAGTCGAGCTGTATTGTAACGACGGAGAATACTAAAATTTTACTTAGATACTGAAGTTGGCAAACCTTAATGGCACTGTCGAAAAGCCCGTGGAACGGCTATTTAGTCCGTTTTGGGATAGTGTTGCTATTGCTGCAGTGAAGGACTTGCTTGTCCGGCCACAAACTGCTCAGTTAATGGCGGATTTGTTAGAAATCAACGTTCCGGAATTCCTTATTCTCACACAAGCATACACATTGCCATGGCTAGTGCTGTGGCGTGATGTGAAAACCATTAAAAAAATTGCTCAAGCTCGGAACGAGGAGATCTGGCGAGTATGTACGGACAAGCCTAATGTTTCTCATATAATGGCATTGTTGCTTGTTCAGGATGTTCGAGATATTCAAAGCCATACAATGTCTGTACTAAATTTCGTCTCTCCGGACTTCGAGGAACGAGGACTTGATTTTGAATATTTTCTGAAAATGGATCTACCAGGCACTTTTCTGCACCTTCTTAAGGTGGCCGGGCTTGCTGATGATAATAAAAAGTCACGGGTAGGTAAACTCTGTAAATTCTCCTTCGTTAGATGTAATAGAAGCTGACTCTCTTAGATTCGACTTGCTTTGCAATTTCTTGTTGAAAATGTTCAAAGCCCCGACCAAAGTCGAAAGAGAAACAATCCAATGGCCACATTTCTAGAACATCACAATCTTGGTCTTATTATTCGCATATCAGAGATCATCAATGACATAAGGGATGAACAGTCTACTTTTGAGAAAAAGAGAAATGTGAAAGCGATTGAGGAGATGGTTACGATTGGCAAGACCTACATGGGTGCAGCTCGACCACAAGTAAGTAAATCCCACTCAAGTTATTTGATGTATGGTAGCTCATTACATCTAGATATGTGCTTGCCTGCAGTCCGCCTTGGCTCAAAAAGACCTTCAAACATCAGCCTTCTCAGCATGGTCGGCTATGCTTCGATATCTTGGCGATGAAGACGTAGAGTGGATGCTTGAAAGTACCTTTGTCACCATAATACAGTATTGGCATTCCTTTGACGATACTACGAAAACAACCTCAGAGCATATTCTGCAGTACCTTCTGGAAGAGAGATCCCTTCTTATTCAAAACAAAATTGTCGACTTGCCATCCCTGTCCGATTTTCCGCAGCTCGGCGATATAGAGCGCAGACTCAACGTCATAAGAAGGCCTACAGACGTCAGTAATGCATTCCAGATATTCAGTCGTAGAATTCGACATGAAAATTCTGGAGTTGTCGCCCAAGCTTTATCCGAGTTAAAGAATCTACTTCAATCACAGCAGTCATATCTTCAGGCATCAGCTGTGAGTGAACAGCCTGATGTGGTTGTTGGTAAGCTTGTGCGTTCAATAATGGATGCGTGTGTTAAGTTTAACGAGTCTCATCATGAAATCGCTAAACTATCGGGAGAATGCATCGGCTTGATAGGTTGTCTTGATCCAAACAGAGTGGAAGCAGTAAGGGAACAGCGGGAGATGGTGGTTATCATGAATTTCCATGATGCTGGGGAGACTACTGATTTTGTTCTATTTACTTTGGAAGAGGTTATTGTCAAGGCATTTTTATCTGCAACCGATACAACCTTACAAGGCTTCTTATCATTTGTTATGCAGGAGCTACTATCTAAAAGTGGATTTTCAGCAGTCTGCGCACCAACTTTGATGGGTGGGAAGAAGGATGTCAATAATCCACTCTACAAGAAATGGGAGTCTCTTCCGGAGAGTGTGCAAGCTACTCTTACGCCTTTCCTTACCTCGAGGTTCCAGGTGTTGAAAATGGAAGTTCAAACCACTACGTACCCCATATTTCGACCCGATAATGCTCAACCTGACAGGATAAATAAGTATAACAATTGGCTAAGAACTTTCGTTCTTGACCTCTTACAGAAACCTAAAAATCACAATGCAGAGTTGATATTTACTCCTCTGTCTCGAGCCATCCGAATCAAGGATCTTTCTGTAGCAAGTTTTCTCCTGCCATATCTGATTCTCCACATAGTAGCCGAAGGAACAGATGGAGAGAGAGATACTATTGGCGCAGAATTGCTTGGCGTTTTAGAGTACGAGCCGCCTTCGACATCCCATATCAAGCAAGAAGAATTAAAGTTATGTAGTGAGGTATGTGCCGCAGTTCCCTTGAAATAACTTGTATTCTATTTCTGACATTCTATAAACAGGCCGTCTTTAGAGTACTCGATTACCTTTCCCGCTGGATTCAAGCGAAGCAGATTGCAATTGTTCGAGACGCGCGAGCTGGTGGCGTAACCACCGATGGTGTAGAGCAAATTGAAAGGGTAACTAGACTTATCGAAAATATTCCGGCTGAAATCGTTTCCGCTCGAGCTATACAATGTAAATCATACTCTAGAGCTTTATTTAACTGGGAGCAGCATATCCGACATGTTCGAGCGACCAAGAAGAAGGATGCTTCAAGAGAAATCGCAGACTTAGAGAGACTGCAAGAGATATATACCCAAATCGACGAGCCAGATGGTATCGAGGGAATATCGGCCCATTTACATGTGTTAGATATTGATCAGATAGTCCTTGGGCATCGCAAGGCGGGACGCTGGACAGCAGCACAGGGTTGGTATGAGATTAAACTTGCAGAAGATCCTGGAGATGTTGACGTTCAACTCAATCTTCTTAACTGCTTAAAGGAATCCGGGCAACATGGTCAGTCTAATAGAGTGTGCAGTTCTCAACTGATACTAACTAGTTCTAGACGTTTTACTTAATTATGTCGAAGGTATGCAAACCGCCACCAAGACAATAGAAAAACTGTTACCTTTCGCCGCAGAGGCTTCGTGGACGACAGGTCGATGGGCTGCCTTGGAAAAGTATACGTCGATAGCTGGTCGCAATGTAGAGGAAGATTTCAATGTCAGCATTGGAAAATCCCTACTTGCTTTACATCAGAAGGAATCCACGCGGTTTGTTTCAACTATTCAGGAACTTAGAGAGCAAATTACTTGCTCTTTGTCAAGGGCTACCACTTCATCAATTGGGTCTTGCCACGATACTATGCTGAAGCTTCATGTACTCACCGAGCTGGAAATGATTGCTGGTTTTGATCGCACTGAGCTGACACCGAGGGAAGAGCTCCTCGAGTCCCTTGACCGGAGGCTCGAAACAATTGGTGGTTATTTGAATGACAAACAATATTTACTGGGTATAAGACGAGCCGCCATGCAATTGTCCAGGTATGTTATACATCAACCTACGAGGTTTTACCACCTCTATATTAGCACTTCTAACTTTCTGTTCAGCCTCGAATTTACAAAGGGTGATCTCGCTTCTGCCTGGTTGACTAGTGCACGCCTTGCTAGAAAAGGAAATGCAATTCATCAATCTTTCAACGCTGTACTCCATGCCTCACAGCTCGGTGATGAGTCAGCAAAGATTGAGCATGCACGACTCTTATGGAAGGAAGAACAGCATCGAAAAGCGATTCAAAGTCTTCAAGGTGCAATCGATAGTAATGCTTTCATATCTCACAATGAAATCAATAAGGCATCTATGGCAAGTGCTGATGATATGTACCGAAAACAGCATCAAAATCTCCTTGAGGCAAGAGCTCATCTTCTACTCGCAAAGTGGCTTGACCGTGCTGGTCAAACAAATTCATCTGCTCTGCGAGCCCAATATCAACTCGCTGCAAAGACACATAACGCATGGGAGAAAGGCCACTATTACCTGGGACGCCACTATAATAAGCTGTTAGAATCAGCCAGTAATTTACCATTAGAGAGGCAAGATGATAATTATTTATCCGGAGAAACTGCATCGCTAGTCATTTCGAATTACCTTCGGTCCTTAGGCCATGGTACCAAATATGTTTACCAAACTCTGCCTCGTATCCTGACACTTTGGTTAGACCTTGGTACTCAACTCAGTCAAAAGATTGATTCGCGGCGTCACTCTCAAGAGTTTGTCAGCAAGATGACTCAGTTGCGAACGAAGACGTTAAGCGACCTTCATGTTCGGTTCAAGAAATACATTTCCAAAATGCCGGCCTATATATTCTATACTGCTTTGCCACAAATTGTATCAAGAATTACTCATCCACACAAGGAGGTCAATCAATTCCTCCAGTTGATTATGTTAAAAGTTGTGTCCGCTCATCCTCAACAGTCACTCTGGAGTTTGTTGGCTGTAAGTACTTCGAAGCAAATAGATCGTCGAAATAAAGGAACCGAGCTGCTCAATAAGTTGGAAAAAGTATCGGGAAGGACCGATAACAGTACCATAGATATCAAGGCACTGATCAGAAGTGGACAAGCTCTTACCAATGAGATACTGAGGATTTGTGAAGTTGGAGATTTTCAAGGATCAAAGGTGTCTAGACCGAGTCTAACCAAAGACCTGCAATTCAATCATAAGGTCGTGCCATGTTTACTTGCTTGCCCAGTTGAGGCTGCATTGACAGCAACCTTACCAACACTCACTGACAAAGTAGCAACACATAAAGCCTTTTCTCGTGATGTTATTACCATCAATTCTTTTGAAGACGACGTTTTGGTCCTAAATTCCTTGGCAAGACCTCGACGATTGAATGCTCTGGCTTCAAATGGACAACACTATGGCCTGCTTTGCAAACCAAAAGATGACCTCCGAATGGATCAACGTCTGATGGAGTTTAATGGTATGATGAATAGAGCTTTGAAGCGCGACGCCGAATCAAGTAGACGTCAATTGTACGTTAAAACATATGCCGTCACCCCCCTAAACGAGGAATGTGGTATCATAGAATGGATAGAAGGACTTCAAACACTTCGTCAAATACTTTTGAGTCTATACCTACCTACTGGCAAAAGAATCAATTATCCGGAGCTCGACGCGTATTGTGAAGAAGCAATGAAAGGCGACAAACAACTCCCATTCTTCACCGAGAAGGTCCTCGGAGAATTCCCCCCTGTATTTCACAAATGGTTTGTGAAGCAATTCCCCGAGCCCTCAGCTTGGTTCGCTGCTAGACTCCGCTATACTCGTTCCTGTGCCGTTATGTCGATGGTGGGCACAATTCTAGGTCTAGGAGATCGTCACACGGAAAATATACTCTTCGAAGAAGGAAACGGAGGAACCTTCCACGTGGATTTCAATTGTCTCTTTGAGAAAGGCAAAACATTCACCAAACCCGAACAAGTTCCTTTCCGTCTGACCCACAACATGGTCGATGCAATGGGCATGTACGGCTACGAAGGCCCTTTTCGCAAATCCTCAGAACTTACCATCAAACTCCTACGTCAACATGAAGAAACCCTCATGACGATCCTCGAAGCGTTTATCTATGATCCGACACTGGATCTTATGAAGAAAGTAGATAAGAAGAAGAGGGATACCGCGAATGATGGTATGCTCAGCGCGCATAAGGTCTTGGATCTTATTCGGAGGAAGGTGAAGGGTTTGTTGCCGGGGGAAAGTGTACCGCTTAGTGTGGAGGGGTATGTTGATGAGTTGATTAAACAGGCGACGGATCCGAGGAATCTGACGGCTATGTATATTGGGTGGTGTTCGTTTTTTTGAGGTGGGACTGTTGTGGAGAGGTCGAGGGAGGATTATGGTATTTGTATTTGGTATTTGGTACAGAGGTCTAAGTTTTTATGAAGCATTCATGTATAACAGACACTAAATCATTTCACATGGTAGATAGAGTTAGCAAAGTTTGAGTATTTGAGTTATATTGTGTAATTGTATCTTATCTCATCTCATCTCATGTTATCTTATTGCATCGTATCTTATCTCGTATATATCATCCCTCATACACATAAGTATATCCATCGTCTTATCATCTCATCAATCTCATATATCATCCTATCATCCATACCACCTCATTCATATATCCATCATCCTTCCACCCCACCACATCCTATCATATCCTGCATCCAAATATCCCCATTCCCAAACGAAAGTATGTATCCATCTCAATTCATCTCATCCATTCCTCCAATACCATACCAATCCAAACCAGTCCAAAGCAAAACAGAAAAAATCCTCAAAACCATAACAGGTATAAAAAAAATAAAAAAATAAAAAATTGGAAAATGAATGAAGAAAAAAGAATCCACAATCAATCAACCAATGTATTAATAAGTAAGTAGTTATAAAAATAAACAACAAAAACGCCCCATGCGCTCACGCAATGATATTCGATGATAGGGATATCCTGTAATAATGATGACGATAATGGTAATAATATAGCGAAAGTAAAAAATGTTGTAAAAAAAAATGAAAGGGAAAGAGAAAGGAAAGAAGTGGAAATTGGAATGAAGGACTCCGGGTATTGAGTATAGATAGGTAATGGTATAAGTATAGACACCAATACCTATCGATAGCAATCGCTATATGAATAGCTGGCTAGTTATTTGAAACGAGTGTTCTGTGAATAGAATGGTCCCTGTATATGTAGAATACCACACCACCATAGATCATGGAAGAGAACACGCCACACCACACCACACCACACCACACCACACCATACCATGTTCAAAGTACATCAGTACAGCAAGTACACCCCGCATCTTGCATATATTCCGCATCCAGACCACATTCCGGACTCGTTGTCAAGTGGGTCCATGCATGCGCACCCGTTACAACTAACAACCTTACAAGCAATAATAAATGCATTAACGTAAGCGTAAGGAGAATGCGACGGTCCATAGTCCAATGGCCCCACAACATCAAGTTCTCAGACCGGGGAGAGGACAGAGCAGAATGGAGCTTTTTGGGATATATAGATGAAAGGAAGGAAGGAGAAGAAGGGAAAAGAAAAGGAAAGAAAAGGAGAGGAAAGAATAAGTAGGTTGGTTACTTATAACTCCTAGTGTCTGTTCCTATCCATTCATATCCAAATCCCAAATCCAAATCCATCCATTCAATCTAGAATTCCACATCGCGATCTCCAACCCCTCCAAACCCACCAATCCCAACCAATTCCAACCTTAAACCCACCAAACCCTAAACCCTCACCCTAACCCTCAACAACTCTCCCAAAACACCCCTAAACCTACTCCTCCAAACCGCCCTCTCAACATGCACCGCCTCATCCTCCCACTCCCACAATTTCTCAAAACGCTCCTCTAGCGTCCCGAAAGTGGCATCAGGGAGCGAAAAATTAATCACAGACATCTGTTCGAGAGACGCATCGTCCGCACCATCAGCGAGATGAAGTCGCTGGATGGGAATTTTAGATATCATAATTTCAGACATTGCTTCGTTTTCTTCTTCGTCTGCGGAGTCGTCGTCGTGATGGGCGTGCGCGGAGCGGATTTTGGAGATGGAGGCGTGAATGTTGAGGTTTTTGGGTTCGGGTTCGGTTTTGGTTTCTTGTTCCTCTTCGTGTTCTTGCTCACTGTGTTCATTTAAATGGGTTTCAGAGCGTTTAGGACGAGGAGGAAGAGCTGGAGGCGCGGCTCCAGCTTCAACTTCAGTCTGAGCTTGAGCCTGAGCTCGCATCTCAGCATCAATTTGCTCCTGGAGTTCTCGTTCCATTTCTCGCTCCATCTCCCTCTCCATTTCACGGTCCATCTGCGCCTGAATCTGGGCTTGCATTTGGGCATCTGTGAATTCGACGCGCAGACTAGAGCTTGGACTCTCATTTGCGGTTGTGGGAGAGAGTTCGAAGGTTTGAGGGTTAGGAAGTGGTGTGGGGAGGGGCTCGCTGGCCGCTTGAGATGCTTCTTGTGTTGCGTCTGTTGGGGGAGCGGAGATTGGAAGTTCGGCTTCGTTTTCAGACTTGGGCTGAGCTGGGATCGCAACATCTGAGTTCGATGGGGCAATAACGGTAGCAGCAGAGCTAGGAGCATTCTCTACATGAGCAATTTTGTCATGTGTAATTTCAGTCCCAGTTCCAGCTTCAGTCTCAGCTTCTTCTTCCAAAGGAGGAGCTCTCCCAACTCCAGCCGGATTTGGACTTTGCCTAACTTTCTTCCCATTATCTCTTCCTCCATCTCTCTCCCTAACATCCTTCACCACGGCCCCCACCAATTTTCTAATCTCTCCACTAGCTCCCTTGGCCTGTTCAGCTAGAACCGCCTTCCCAGCTCTAACATCCCAAATATTTACCGCGCGTTTTCCCTCATGTTTGCGTCTGCGTTCCTCCGTACAATTCAACTCATTCCTAAGTTGATATTCCAATTCTGGAAAGGTAAGAGCCGTATGGTGGATATTCTCGTGATGATCCCCATATTTTCCATTCTCATTCTCGTTTGAGTTTCCCAGTAAGGGCGTTTTTGAATCCGAATGCGCAGAATGCGAACGCATATTCGCCGAATAAGGCGGTCTCAACCAAGCATCCATGAGATTTGTCGCGCTATACAAGAGCGAAAATGTGCTCTGCTCCTCTACCTTCTTTAAAACACCCCTCCTAATTCCCTCTCTAAATTGATTTCTCTCTCCCCTTCTCCCTCTTTCCCCTCCTCCGATTCCCCAAGTACCAAGTCCCCACTTCGGAGGATTTTGGATCGGGATATTGAAATCCGTTTCGTCGTGTCCGAAGACTATGTCGAATTTCGCATGTGGTACGATCCAAAAGACCGTTCGTTGTGTGTATCTCGACAGAGGAGAAGATTTCCAATGCAGGGTTAGATCTCCTGTCATGGAGTCTGGATCTTGGTTTTCCCTGCCGCGAATTTCCTCACCGATTCCAAAACCCATACCAATCCCAGTACCAGTTCCCATTCCTTCGAGATCTCGTTCTGGTTCTTCGGAAATTCCTTCTGGTTCCTCGGAGATTCCTTCGGGTTCTTCGGTAAGGATTGTGGGGATATTTGGCATGGGGATCACGGGATGTGAATTTAAGGCTTCGAAAAGACTGGGTTGTCCCTCGGTATGAGAGTGTAATGGTTTTGGTCGCTGAGGCGTTCGAGGTGGTGTATCCACCACCATTGCACTAAAAGTAGCTCCGGGTCTTGGTGAAAATGGATTTAAATCTGCATCTGGAAATAATGGGCTAGTTAAACTTGATCTTGAGATAGCTTCAGGCGTTGGTTCCAAAAATGAGAAAACAGGAGGAGCTTGAGAGTTAGAAGGCACGAGAGTAGCAGTTGTAGAAGTCCTTCTCGGTGGAATCCGTGGTGGAAGAGATGAATCTGTTGTCGATGGAGGAGCGGGTGCATCTTCCGAAACCGTACTTTCTCTACTCAAAGGGGAGAAAATTCTTCTTGAGAGGGGTTCTGTCCTTGATCGTTGAAGTGGTTTAATTTCAGCAATTGGTGCAGTTTGAGATCTTGCCAGGGTCTTTGGTTTAAAAGGAACTCTTGGTTTTGATACGGATTTTGACCTTGGTTTAGCTTCACGATCCGCATCGGGTTTTAAACCGAGGGAAAAGGCGAAGCGGGAAGAAATATAGTTGTAATCCAAGGATTCATTGTAGTAAGCTTGGGTATCGAATTCTGTGAATTCTGGGGTGAGGTTGGTGCCGGATGTAGTGGAAGATTTTGGTGATGGCATAATTTTGATGGGGAAAGTGTAGGTAGTCTGAAAATTTATCAGCATTTTCCGTGGAATTTCGCATTTTAGATAAAACCCGTGATAATTCAACAATTAAAAGAATTGAAGAGGCATGGGAGTATTGAACTTACTTTTCTTCTATCATTCTTAGGTCTCTCGATGCGTTCATTACTACCAGCAGCAGCCTCGGGTCGATCAGTATCCATCGTACCGTAAGCCAAATTATCTTCGTCCATGTTCGAAGAATTGGCAAGCTTCGCTTTACCACTCGACTTTCGAAGAACTTTGGAAGGAGAAGGTAAACAGTCGAATATATTACTACAGGACATGAATACCTTTTCCACCTTTCCGCCAATTTAAAATTAGGTGCAAGACCCAAAAAGCGGTGATGATATGCGATTGTGGCAAAAGTCACCAAGCAACCAAGTAACCAAGCAACCAAGCTGTCCAGCAGCTAGAGCAAAAACGAGGGGGCGGGGGGTGGGAGGGAAGTATCGGTAAGTAAATGCAGTAGAAATCCAGAAATATAAAGGCGCAGTGCGTGCACTTTTTTTCAATATGTAAGAATATGTGAATCAACTTTCTCGGTCTCGCACTTTTGGATGAAAAATCGGAAGATATGAAGCATGAACAATCTGCAAGCACAAGAGGGAAAAGATATGCGGTGAAATATATTCATATTCCCACTTCACAAGCATTGAGCTATCCAAAGCAAACATGTGCAGCACAAGCACAGCACAGTACAGTATAATTCTAAGCAATTCCGAATTAATTTCATTCGACTCCCAAGATTTTTTCGCATCGGAACGACAAGCTCGATTCTCATTCGTGGATAATGGGGACGCTTTAAAAATGTTTCCATTTTCACCTGACGTGGTTCCTATCATCACCCATCATCATCCATCACCACCTGTCAAAAATTGAAGAAACAAGCAAAGCAAAGCAAAGCAAGCGATGAACGAACAAGACTTGCCAGCGAAACTTCTCGCCTCACGATGAAACACGAGAGCGTAAAAAATCTTCCAGTGGAGAAAATTTCTCAGCAACACAACTAGATTTTGGTCATATTTGATGAATGGTACTGAATGGTGTTGGATACTATCAATGGTAGAAGTGCTATGAATGGTCTCAATTGGTGATCTGAATAACTTCGTAATCGTAATAATGAAAGAGTCATTTCATTGTTAAAAAAGCCGGTAAATGGACATTTTATCCATCGTTTCGAGTAAAAATCCGCTCAGATGCATGAATTTGCTGTACTTATCGACTTAGCACCATGTGAGTCTTGATTAGCTGCAGGTGAAGAAAACTTCGCTGCAGCTTGTTGCTGGCTCGTTGGGTTAGGGCGTTGAGATAATTATGGGGATTGCATCAAATCCTTTCGATGTCATCAAATAACGGTGAGAGTGGCTAGCTAACTTATGACTCTGTGAGGCTGTGAGCAGTTGAGCCATGTACGAAGTACAATAGCTGCGTAAGGGTATGGATCGACTGCTCCCCGTACCGTTTGTTTGCCCTGATATAGATAGGTACATGGTGATATTCTTGCATTCTTGCAGCATCCAAATCCAATGAATAAAATCATTCGGGATAAGGTACCCCAGCTTGCCCAGGGGTCCCCTCCAAGAGCTTGTGAGATTAAGGAAGATCAAGGAACGACCAGCACAACAAACGGCCATCTCAGTAGTCATGTTTCGTAATTACTGTCGCCCATCCCAACCTCGGCATCTTGATTCTCGAATCCAGCGTTGACATTACATGATAAGAACAAGATAAGATGTGAACTCACATGAACAGCGCAGGCGTTGGCTTTTCTGTTGGCTCGGTATAGTTCATGAGATGTGGAATGCGGCAGCAACCTGAAGCAACTTTGAAATCAACCCCCCGTACTTGGACGAGTATTTATTGCCCACGTCACTTGGTTGCTGGTTGCTTTCCCCGGTTTGGCTGGGTACCCACGAGGTTATTGAACGTGAACGTGAGATGAGGTATATATGTATGGGGCATGTATAAAAAACCTTGAAATGAGAGAGGAGTAACATGTATCGGGATTCGGTATCGTAGTTATGCACGGAGTAAGGCAAATGATTTTAGTTAAGACATAATATTGAGAGATCAGAAGGAGGGGCGATGATCTAAAACTTCCCATCATGTATGTGATTGTGTATTTTATGTATATGCGAGCATAGAACAGAAACCCGAATTGAGATTACAACAACGAAGTGAATATGCAGGTGCGATAACTCTTCAAAAAGGTACATCTGGAGGATGAATGTAGTTTACCCAATTGAGGTAGGTACAACGTCGTCAAGCTCATAATTAATGAATTAATTGCCCGAATGCAGGAATATGCACGTATGTATGTAGATGGGATCGCCAAACGAGAAAGAATTGCATGTGAATGTAGGAACATGCATCATGGTGTGTTGTGTGAAATAGAGATGTGTATGAATGGAGGGGTCATTTTGACGCCATCAATTTGTGGAGGGAGGACGAGAACCAAGGACTACCATTACATCATGAACAACGATTAATATAAACGTTGCTAGTAGAAAATTGGCAAAGGAGAATATTCCTGTATATCTTCTTGTTTTATATAAGAAGTATTGTGTCAAGTAATGAATCTAGTGAGATCCCCTCACAA